AATGAGAATAGCATAAAGAGAACTAGAAACGAACTCACACATCAAAATCAGAAACTAAAATCTTTGATCTAGACATAAGAAAACAGGTTAAAGTAGATAAATATAGCAGTGCATAGAAAGCTGTTATGTGGTAATATTAAAACCAGTAGAATCACTTGGGAACTGGATCCTATGTGTTTTAAGATTAAAAGGAAAGACTGAAAAACAAAGACTTATTTAACAGTTAATCATAAAATCACAATAGATTCTTTTTTTTTTATAAAGATTTTATTTATTTATTTGACAGAGAGAGACACAGCGAGAGAGGGAACACAAGCAGGGGGAGTGGGAGAGGGCCAAGCAGGCTCCCCGCTGAGCAGGGAGTTGTCCCAAACATATTTAGGATCATGACTCGAGCCGAATGCAGACACTCAATGACTGAGCCACCCAAGCACCCCTGGTAGATTCATTTCAATTTCCAAACTATTTTAAGTTAAACAGTTGGTAAAGTGGGTAACTTTAATGAAAATTAATCATGTAGCCTGAAGAACAAAATCAGAATAACAGTGCGTGGGGGGAGGGGGGGAGAGAGAGAGAGAGAGATTGAGAATTGCGTGTAACTACTGTAACCACCCCCTAGGGTTTCTACTATATGTAACAAAATGGACTTGAAAAGATTGAATGTCCATTTCTAAGTCACTGGCTTCTTAAATATATAATTTCTGTGTGACCACAATATGAGTAGTAACTAACGCTCTAAAAAATGGGAGCAGATGGCTTCCAAATCAGATCATGTGGTAATCCTGGTGTGGAAGGAAATTAGAAATAACTCTCACCCTTACTAAAACAAGGCTACATCTCCACCTCCACCATATATTATTTTAAAGAATGTATGTATTAGTACTAAAACAAATGGAAACATGATCCAAAGGACAAACAACAACGGAGGCATTTTTAACATCTTTCAATTTGGCTCTGATCTGTCAAAACTTCCTGCACTCTATTTTATTTATGTCTTAGGACCCAAGGCAAGTTTTGGTTCAGTGGTTACCACAGACTCACCACAGACATCTTCTCCAATGGGTAGATTTTATTGCCCTCCCCAACCAAGTAGGGGCTGTATGGCCCTCCTATGAGCTCTCACAGAACTGTGCTTTCCTCCATTATGGTACTTATCATACACTAGTGTAAGTTTTTGTTTATTTCTTTATCTTTCCTCCTGGACTATGAGCTTGAAAACACAAACTATATCTTATTTTTGGATCCTCATCACCTAAAACAGTACACAGACCACGGGAGACACAGAATTAATGAATGAATAAATGAATAAATGCATTAACAGAAAATCAAATACGTTTTCACATCTGTGTTTTTATAACTTAAGCAAACGACAGAAATATGTCAGACAAGGAGAGAAAAACACATTTTTCCTCTAGATGGATAGTTTAGAAAGACCTGTAAATTAATCACCTTCACAAAGAAACTGAGATGCCAAAGACTGAAACTTAGCCTCTTATCTTTACCCACAATAATATCAATAATATAATAACATCGTCACCAAATAATGAATAAAACCAAAATCTGCACACTGATTTTCTAATACAAATCTCACGACTTGATCTTACTCTCTTGAACTGATGACACTACTGAGAATTCAATTATAACTGTCTGTTTAAAACAAATAATTAATGCGTCTCTTTAAACATTTTGATAGAACACTGTATTTATTATCAAGTATGTATTTATTATCAAGTAAGTACCATGATTAAAAAAACCAGAGTTGCTTTAAAAAAAAAAAAACAGCAACAATTGATCAACATCAATGTACTGGAGCGAGAATTTTGCTACAATATTTACAGTTTCCAATGATTTTCTAACAGTCTGTAGCAGTGATGTGAATTTCTTTCAATCAGGCTGTAGTTTAATTTTTTCCAGGGAAATATTTTTAATAGGAGTACTGACCCTTTTAACACTCTTGGAAAGAAAATGAATCCTATAAGCATCCTGGCATGTAACTATTATAAAAATACATAAAACAATCAATCAGGGGAAATTGTAATAGACTTGAGAAACCAAACTCTCTCAAGAAATGTACATGAGCGTGTGTGATGATAACCACTTTCACAGAGAGAAGATTCTATGCATCAGCAAAACAACTGAGCCCACTAAGACAAATGAAGGGCTGGAAAGAAGGGGAAAATTTTGAAGAAACAGCCTTCATGTCTTCCGTAAAACAGAACTAACCACATTCACTTAGATCAGTTCTGGGGGCTATCACTCAATGCCTAGGCTGTCCCTAAGTGCTGTTTGGTTTTTCAGAAAGTACTTAAATGTTTCGGGAGGGGGAGGAGGGACCCAAGGATGCTGACTGATTTAAGACACATTTTTTGCACTCACAATTCTTTGTGCTTTAAGAGGAATTTTTTCAGGTCATTAGTTTATAATGTGAACTGGCGCCTAGGGATATTTTGAAAGGAGAAAAAAAAAGTGTGCTTGGGATGCAGTTTATGTGACTTGCGTCATCATTTCAGCTCAGTTTGGGGCTCAACACAGAACTTGCAATGAAGTCACCACATCTGCAACAGTTTCTTTCTCAGCATGCAGTGACCTTACAGAAATGTGAAAACAGAATATCCCCCTTACCCTCAAAAAAGCCCATCAGAACCTCTTTAAAATATCCAAGTGCCTGCAAGAAGTTCTTACTTTTTCAGATATGAAAATAAACTCAGCTTTACAAGTAATTTCCAAAATAATCTGGATTATCAAAATGCCAGAATGTATTAATCCTGCTAGTTTTAGCCTTATTTCCAACACCCACCCCCAACCATTCACACTGTTCTGTTAGGTACAGAGAGCCTGGAACAAAATCATTAGGCTCAGAGAAGGCAAACATCTTCCCAAACCCAAGTTCATAGACCAAAAGACGATTTGGTCATTAATCAAGATTAATTTGATCCACATATCCTGTCAAAACAGATCATTCAGAGCCCCAAAGTAAACTATTTCCATTTTAATGGAAATATTAAATATTTTTCCATTAAGTGTAAACAAAAACACTGGGTGGCTCAGACGGTTAAGCGTCTGCCTTCGGCTCAGGTCATGATCCTGGGATCCTGGGATCGAGCCCCGCATCAGGCTCCCTGCTCAGCTAGGAGTCTGCTTCTCCCTCTCCCTCTGCCTCTGCTTGCCACTTCCCCCTGCTTGTACTCTCTCAGTCAAATAAAAAATAAAAAATCTTAAAAAAAAAAAGTGTAAACAAAAACAGTCCACAGTGTAAACAAAACAAATATCGATATTCCAACTATCTTCCTTTTCTTCATTGTAAATACCCTTCTTACACATTTGTTAAGGACACATGAGTCATGACTTAAAATCATGAAGTCAAGTATCTTGACAAGTGTCATCACCCCAGGAGATTATGAAACTCCCTGTTCTCAACTGGGTACACATTAGAACCACCAGAGGAATTTTTACAAAATATGGATTCCTGGGCCCCAGCTAAGATTCAGAATCACCATGCTCTAAAATACCCTCCAGTGAGTCCAAAGTGCAGTAAGGTGGAGAACCAACTGCCTCACAAATGTGGACCAATGACCCACAAAGGACCAAATTGAGAGCAAGCCAGTGGCAGGCCGTCTGAAGCAGAACCCAGAACAAAGATTACAAACTCAAATGCCTACAGGAGCCACTTGGGTGAATGAAGCAGGCAAAGTAGATACACACATTTTTAAAATGTGTGAGTGCCAGAGGGTGTGACAAACAGGGGGCTCACAGGGCAAGGGCCCCCGAGCTCTAGCTGCTATTGCCATCAGGGAAATAAGAGGTAACAGGTCTTCTCTCTTAATCAGAAAAAAAAAAAAAAAAAGTCATTATTTTTATGTAAAATTTCCCAACTTTAAATGTTGGCTCAATTGAGGGCGCCTGGGTAGCTCAGTTGGTTAAGCGACTGCCTTCGGCTCAGGTCATGATCCCGGAGTCCCGGGATCGAGTCCCGCATCGGGCTCTCTGCTCGGCAGGGAGTCT